GAACCCGAAAATACAACCGAAATACATTGCGCAGTTGTGTTATTCACACCAAGCCTTTTAAATACTCATATTTCTTTCTGTTTATTATCTACACTCCTTCCCTTCACATTTTCTGGACAACTACATGTATACTCAAAATTATTCTAGTAGTTGGACTAATTACTCTTCAATGCTACGAACATGCTGGAAAATTGAATCTTTATCAGTCAGTCCAACAAGCTCATTTCACTCGTAGGCATTGTGACAATGGCTGTGACAATTGGCGTTGATTTGTCCTGTTTGACTAGAAGTACTCGGATGTCCTCAGAAATTCCCTAAAAAATTGCTTTCTCCATATTTGTAAACACAAGAACTATAAAAGTTTTAATAGGTTCTCTTTACTTACGCTTTCACAGAAAAATTCTTTGCATTTTTTTTCTATAAATGATCACCTTTTCAGGTTCGATACATTCCACCAAAGTAGTGAATGTGTAAAAATGTCCAGGCATGAGTATGGAAATTGGAATCAGCGTCTCTTCAAAGTTGTAGATTTTTGGTGAGTACACCATTGATAGCCAAAGGCTGTAGAGTGGCACTTTCCTGGAGTAGATTCGCTTGAAAATGGAAGAGAGTCAAGCATAAAGTGGCTTACATTGCACAGCTCAGCTTCACCGTTAGACGGAACTTTGGCCCAAACCCGTTCACGGTAACAGCGATGTCCACCGCATGTTTCGGATCGGTCGAGATCGAAGCGGTAGACGTCGACGCCATAGCTGCGAACGCTTTTGTAGCATGATACTTGATAAGGAATAAATCACGTTGATACGTCTGAAAGCAGTAAAAAAATCAGTGAAAACCAAGAAAATGAGGAAAACTTTCCTTACTTGATGTATCTGGTTAACGTTGTCTCTTTCACGAACAGTTTGATCGATGAAAATCTTGCTCTTCTTGGGGATGTTCAGCTTGATATTGTAAGCTTTTGGAGGAGCTGCAATGTCGAGTCGTTCATCCAGCGAAGCTTTACGGCGGAAAAGCTTTACGAGTAGGCCGCCATCTGAAAATGAAAAATTTAGAAAGTTTGACC